TAAAAATACAGATTTGAGCACATAGATAGATTAAGCTTACTCTACCCCACAAAAGTATGTTTTTGATTCTAAAAATATTGAGATTTGAGTAACTTATTTCCAAAAAAATAAAAACTTTTTTTTTTAATTGTCAAATGTACAGAAATACAATTTAGTGAAAATTTCAAAAAATTTTCTCAAATTTTTACTGCTTCAGCAAAACTAATATTATATAACATTGCCATATATAGTGTCTTACTAATTATTACCAATATAATATTGGTCAGCATTTTTGTCTATTTGTTATAAGAGTCAGAGGCTTATAATAAATACTTACTCTAATGATAAATATTCAAGATACAACCAAGTATTATTAATATATTGTTAATTTGTAGTACTAATAAAAGCTATACAAAACATTTCTAAGACCTTTTTTGTATGTTTTAAAAAAGGTCAATGTCCACAGCTCAATTTTTGCCAAAGGGTCCTTCCTAAAGGGGTAAGTGGCTGTGCTGTGACTGATGTGACACCCTATGTCGGGTTTATACTTTCTCTACCTTAGTTGACATGAAAGGATTCGTCATGCAAATACCCTGTCCTTCGCAAATACCAAGCTTGTCTAATTGTATTCATCTCAAAGTGTGAATCCATCATCGCCATCGCTCTTTCAATCGATACTCGCACAGTCCGATGTCTCTGTATTACCAATGCCGGACTCGGTCTCCTTAGCTTGGCTTTTCCTGGAACGACGGAAAGGCGCGGGCGAACGAAGAAAACGTCCAAGACGAAGGAAAAAAGCGAAGAAGAGCCGGGCGGGGAGTCCGGAAGAAAGCGATGCGAAATACGCATACACCGACGAAGAACCCGTTGTTCCGGTTGATAGGGCGGTCTGTTTCTCAAGAAGGCAAGGATAGAGATCGGGAGGCCGAGACACCGCCTCCACTACCTGCTCCTCCACCGCTACTGACGATCCTGCCGATTGCGGAACGCTTCGTACGATCAGGGACACTGACTGCAAACGGGAGTACTAATGGCACGTTGACGACAACGTCTTCGTCGTCGGATGCTAGTTCGAGCTCGAGCTTGGCCAAGTTGGCCAAGTCTTCCTCATCTATTTACCTCCGTTCAGTTGACAGTCTGAGTACGCTTGTTCCACCACATGACCCACTGCGCTCTGAGAGTCCCCGGAGCAACCGTAGTGCACCAAGTTGGATAGCTGTAACGACTACTGATAGGCAGGGTCGTTGGATCTTCCGAGGCCCGTGGGAGAACGGTGACATCAACGCAAATTCTCTGTCCGATGCACTTCATTTCTCGCGAGCAGCACGCGTTCAGAGCCCGGACATGGTAGCAACGACCGATCTGACTCTGGCCATGAGACGAGTGATGGTCATGACCAATCCACGTCGCCTACCGCCGTCACTACCTACAGCAGCCCGAGTCCGGAGTCGGGGAAGTCACCGACGAAGAGGATAACCAAGCTCTTCCCGTTCGGGCATTCGCGCGACAATGACAGCAACGGATCATCCTCATCGTCGAAGACTACAATCTCAAGCCCGAACCCACATCTTGGGCAGAGGGAATTGTCGATGGGGTTGCCGAATTCATTTGAGATTGCTGCCGCGTTGACGGCAACGGCGAAGGGTCTTTCGCCGATGCATTTACTCCCGAACCATAAACATGCGAACTTGGATGTGAGACGGTCTGATTCACCCGAATCGTTCATTATCATTAACGAAGAGGATGGGATCCCGGCTCCCATGCGGCAACAGCGCTTTGAGAACGCGAATGCTGGCTTCGATGTGAACGACTCGTCTGCCGTGCGTGGAAGGTCTGATACACCTTCCAGCCTCGCTGATCGACGACGCGCCAACTTGGACGTACTCGACCTCACACCGACTCAGAGCCGAGCAGGTTCACCAAGCCCTAGCCGTGATGAATTCCGAGCAGCACGAGCGAGTGTCCTCGCATACTACCAGGTCCCACCGCCATCCCCACCTCCAGCAGGACCCCTTCCTCCAAGACCAGACAGCGTAAACGACGCACCTTTCTCACGCCGCGGAAGTGATGACAACCAACTATTATCACCCGGTCGAGCCTACGCTTCACGTTCTCCGTCTCCTCTCGGTCCTGGTGGTCGATACTCGCGATCGCCTTCTCCAGGGATGGGTATGGGTCAAGTCCGTCGTGGACGAGAGTCCCCCTTCCCAACCCGTCCCATCCTCCCACCGCAAGACAGCCGAGAACTCTTTGAGCGCGTAGAACGATACAAAGCTCTATACGCTGCAGTTGACGCCGACGGTGCTGACGTACCCGAGGACGCATTTGTGGGTATGGACGAGTTCTTCGACAAACATAGTTCAGCGTATATCCGCGCTGCGCGTGCTCGTGGGGAGAAACGGGTGTATTTTGACGTCGTGAGGAGGTCGTATGAGGCTAGTCTGCGGAATAGTCATACGTTCTATGTGAATGGTCCTCATGCGACTTTGCCGCCGGAGATAGCTATCGAGCCTGCAGACGACTACGATCCTAGATACAACAACAACAATACCGACTTTGATGACGCAACGGACGAACGTCTCCGTTACTCCACCACACTGTCCGACGCCGAAGTAGCAGCTGCCGAACATCTTAACACATTAGAAACAGTCGTAGAAGAAGACTCTTCTTCCGACTCTCGTTCATTCGCAGCTTCTTCCGTATATTCACGGTACAGCGTATTGGACGAAGGAAAGAGCGCTGCAGTACGCGAAGGGTTTGTTAGGAGGGTTGCAGCACTGTATGGTCAGGATAAGTTGTTACGGGAGGAGATACCTGAGGTCCCGAAGATACCTAATGAGTTTCGCGATGCTGCGCCCGCTGCTGGACGGCCCCCGATTGAAAAGGCTGCTGCTGCGTTGAAGGTT